ATATATATATATATATATATATATATATATATATATATATATATATATATATATATATATATATATATATATATATATATATATATATATATATGTGTGTGTGTGTGTGTGTTGTGTGTGTGTGTGTGTGTGTGTGTAAAGAGAGAGAGAAAGAGACTAACCATTCTTCTGGTAGGTGCTTGATCGAGTTGACTTGTACCTCGAGTGGAGGAAGCAAGCAACCTGTTAGAAGGACATAATTCATCAACCCTGAAATTTTCAACACCAATTCTTGGACTACCAAATATTTTCAGGCATCCACCACAAACTAAACAAATCGCTCACCGAGAAGTAGCACTTGGAAGAGGGAACCCACAAATTTGAGCTCCCCGTATCAAAGATCACGGTGAACTTCTGTGCAGGGGAACCGATGCCGATCTCCCCAAAATACTGCGCGTTCATATAGTTCTTGAGGGAAACAATATCAGTATCTTCCCCGTTACCAAGTCGAAATCCGTGCTTCCGGGCCATCAAACGCCTCCTTTCCTGAACAAGCCGAGCCGCGAGTCTGCCGTTTTCGTCCAAGGGCTTCTTCTTCAGCTTGATCCTGACCAAACCATCGGCCGATGCTGGAAGAACCAAAGGCAGCACAAGTATCGAAAGCAGAACAAGAGATGCGAGAAATCCACGTCTGGTGCCCATGATCCACTGTCGATCCAAAATATGAGCGTTAAATCCCTAGAATATATCAATCTATAGCATGATTACATTAAAGATTTGAAAAGAAAAAGCTATCCTCCAGAACAGATTAGATGAAACAGGGGGAAACGAATTAGAAATCAATCCCGACGAACCGATTACCACAAAGAAACACTAACATCGCAACAAAATATCTGCGACGTAACTCACCGGCTAGAGGAATCGAAATGGGGGAACGAAGGCCACCTGCGTTCACCTACAGTCTTCAGTTGCGTTGTTATGTAGTAAAGAGAGGAAGAATATTTAAAAATACGGAAGATACGTCAAATTGCACCGTCCGATCTTTCACCCGAAGCGAAATGAACCGTTGGATAACTATCCTTTTCTACAGTGGCGGTGTGCGCACAAATGTCCACGCCTGTGGGATGCCGGGACTGCGACGTGGCCTACGTAAACAGAAAACGACGCAGGATACATTCGTACATTTCCCGACGTTGCCGTAGATAAACCTGTATTGTCATTGGACATCCTAACTGACCCCAGTGGCTTCCTTCAGTAGAAAGGAGTGTAAACTCAACGGGTAATGGATAATGGGTAAGAAACTAATTTTGTATTTCCAATTTCAATGGAGAGAGCGAAGAAGACATAGGCACTCGGGAAGACGTTACTCTCGAGAGCCACAGACGGCGGGCAGCGGGTCCCATTGTAGATCACAGATGAGCTATCTCTGTGGGTGTCGCGGCGAGGACAAACTCGTCTGGCGTATTTATTTGGCCCCTTTTAGAACATTCAGACCAAAGCAACTAATGGATCGAACTCGGATTGTATCAGGTCCGAGAGAACCAATCCGATAGCCCATTACGACGTTGTTCCAGAGTTTATTTGAAATCCGACCCATCCCAATACCTTTAGACCTCACAATCTTACTATCTATGCATACATATGCAGTTTAATTGAATACAAGGCAAATTTGCAGTGGGCTGCCCCTTATCATTATTTTATTGATGGGTAGCACTATAAATATAATCTCAAAATCTATTATAAAGAGATTAAATTTTAAGGTACAATCATATCTAACCTCATTTAAAATAATCTAGATTGACAAAACCATTGACATTCTAATCATTTAAAATAAGTGATTGTCAAGATGAAATTTAGTGTGATATCTTATCAATTGACATTCTTTTAGGTGTTGTATGATTTTGATATTGTCGATCATAAAAGAGAAAATAAATATATATTTTTCATATAAAATAAAAATATTATGACTAATAAAATCATAAAAAAAATAAATGAAGAACTCACAAGTCTCCTCCACAAGTCTTAACTATGAAAGAGGCTCTACTTATTCGATCTTAAATTTTATAAAAAATAAAAAATTTAAACAATAAATTTTGTATAACCATCGTAAATTCTTTAATCTTTACACGATTCTTAACTTAACTCCTAAGACTAAATCATTTTTAGATGAATTTTCTAATATCACACCCTTGAAATTACCTAGTGAGTTGTCACCGTTACGAGAAATTCAATATGTCATTGACCTCCTCCTAAGATCGTAACTCTCTATAAGCTTTCATATTATAAAATAAATCCTAAGAAGATAGTCAAATTAAATAAATAAATTAAAAAAATTTGGAGTAAAGGCTTTACATGATATAATCTTAATTTTTGCGTTGTTTTTGCCTTGCTAACCAATCGCTAAGAAATATAGGTCACGGAGGATGCATGGGCAAAATTAAGCAAACAATAAAATAATAAAAAAATATTGCTTCTCAAATCCTTGACTTAGTATATGCTAGACCTTCTCGTTGGATTTAGTTGGTTTTAAAAAAATGACCTGAGAAGTTTGTATTAAATCTGATGATGAATAAAAAATAACATTCAAAACTCAAGATAACTTATGTGAATAACTACTCATGGTCTATCTAATGTCCTAAATAATTTTATGCGCTTCATAAACTAAGTTTTAGAACCCTTCGTAGGTAAGTTTATTGTAAGACTAAAGAGAATCACTGATCATTTGAGTTACTAAGCTCTACATCAATATGAAAATATGTTGATTCATATAAACTCATGACTTATTCCTTAGCTTCATCATTTTTAGCTAACGTATTACTACTGATTCATTATATGATTTGGTTCATATTTATATTATCTAAAGAAATATAAATCTTGTCATGGAAACGAAAATGACCATCGCTCATATTATTATTAAGCATCCACACTTTAGCAAATCTTTTTGGGATCACTTGTGATATCTCTCTGTATAAATATATGAGAAATTCTTAGACAAAAAAATATTTTCTTGTATATGGCTATCAATTTTTACAATGAAACACTTAATGATATAAAATAATATTATTCTACGATAAAATAACAACTATATGCAATTGTGCTTATCGTCTTGTATCGGATCGGATTAACAATCATATTGTTGGATCGACTGGTCGATTAAATGCCTGTTCTAATTATATCAAGTCACTTGAACGGGTCAAGTCCGACCTGTTCGATCCATCGGAGCTCGACTGCTATGGGACTGATGGTCTAACGAGCCACGGATCCCATTTGCGTTCATTAAGAGACCAAAAATTGTATGCAATACCGGCTCATCGCGGCCGTCTCGGCCCGATGCTATCGCCTTCCCCCGCCTCCTTCGCTCCGTCTCCTTCCGGCCCGTTTGCGACAGACGTCATCAACTCGGTCGCCCTCTTGTTTATCTATCTCTTGCCTTCTTCTCAGGTTCCTTTCTAGAGAGCCAAGGCGCCGTTCCAGGATACTGGATGGTAACCGTATCTTCGTTTTCGCCATTCTTGTTTCTCTAAAACTTTTGATCAGGAAAAACGGAATCTTTTATAGCAAGTTTTAGTAAATGTGAACCTGTTCACAAGGTGTTGGATTTGAGATATTGAAGGATGGAGCAGTTTTTGATATGTTTAGTTTCTTAGATGCTCGACATCTATGATAAAGCAAATTGGGGACAAAAACACGTTGGTTTACGTGCGCTCTAAGTTCGTGGAGGAAACGTCAAGATTAATTGCCTGTGGATCCTCGATTCTTCTGCAGCGTTCAGTGAAGAAAATAATAGTAAGAGTAAGTTTTCTTTTTCTTGTGGTGGAGGCATATCAATAGGCATAGGCATGATAGTGCTTTTCTCCTCTTCCAGTTACTATGTAAGTAGGATATGCCGATATGGGTCATAAAGAAAATATATTCTATATCTTTGAAATATCGATACTGTTTTTTCTCTAAACTTAGGTCACTTGGTGGATCCACTTAGTTGTTTTATATCAATACTAACTTCTACTGGGAGAATCAGTCCGTGTAATTTTCCTTTCTATTGTTATTAAGCGTTTGGAACAAACTTCCTTGCTGTTTATCTTTAACATATATTTCTCTTATCACTGGTGCAGTAAAATTTTGAACTGCAAATAATTCCTTCAAAGCATCGGGATGTTACCCCATTGCTATTGATGCTTCTAACATGTGGGTTCAATTATGCCACTCTCATGTCAAGAGAAATCACCTAAATTTCATGCTTGGAGTTCAAAATTTATAATTCAGCTGATTTTAGACGCATAACAATTTTATTTTCTATCGTTTCAAAGACATTAAAAAGTTAGTCACATACATATGTAAATGGGGAGATGCCAACAACATCACCAATCCCGGTCCCAAACCCGGATGAGAATGGTGGTTATGTTTGCTATGGTCACGTAGATTTTCAACGCACCCCTGGAGAATTTTGAAGGATCAAAACAAATTTCATTGTGATGGTCATTATCAGACTTTTGTGTTAGGTTTTGAACTTCTTTTATTCCTCGGATGGTATTTAGTCTCCTCTACACCGATGTTAGTTTGTATCACAATACTGGAATATATGTTTGGTAGCTCCTAGATAGGCAAAAAGATATATTTTGGTAGCATCTTGTACTCAGACCCCTATTATGATAGAACTTTGACAAAGGACTTTTTCATCTCTTATTCAAAACTCTTTCTTTTTCCGAAGAAAAAAAAACAGCAATATCAGTGATCAATTATTACAAAAATGGATAAGTTGAACTCATTGGCTTTCAAAAAATCGGAGAACCCTTGTGTTATTCCAAAATTAGCAAGGCTACGAGCCATGCTATTGTGACTTCTAGGGATATATCCAAACTGAAATACATGGAGTTTACAAGCAAGTTCTCTAATGTTTGTAATGATAGCCCTAAAAAACCAGGGGGGTCCCTTCACACCTTTCACAAAATTAATTACATTCTCCACATCAGAATGCACTCTTGTGTTCCTTAGATTATCCTGCTTCACTTGGCGTATTCCTTTAAGAACAGCTAAAGCTTCACTGTGGCAGCATTTTTATGCTTGACACAACACACCCTGCCCAAACCACCTCATTGTCTGAGGTTTTGAGAATGAATCCAGTACCTGCAAAAACATTAGCTTATGAAAGGATCGATCAGATTCTACGAGTGAATCAAATTCATCTCCAGTTTCAGTCATCAGGTTGAGGTTTCCTTCCTTGGTCCCCTTGGATCTTGAAATGGCAGTAGATTCCATTCAATTATTATCTTGCGTGGATAAATTTTGTATCTGAACTTAGAGTGGTGTAATTTTTTTCGCAAATCAATGGGTTCATGTAATAGGGATATAGCGTATGAATGTATCTTTTTGTTTCAGATATTGCACGTGGTGCTGGTAAATGGTAACAGTTCATAACGTTAGTGCCTTCTTATAATAGAAAATTTAAAACTTCTAACTCTTGTTTGCAAAGGAAATGATGGATAAAAAGATAGCTGAAACACTTTAGCCTTCACAATTTGTTTTCTTGTTGCCTTTGATTCTTGTTGAAGTATTACTGGTGCCTTGTACTTCCATCCTATTGGTGTACAGTCAGTGACTGAAAAGAGGTCCATATAGGCAACCCTAAAGAGTTGGAACATTTAACTTTCATACCATTAAAAAATGGAGGTTTTACATCACAAACGTCTTGGCAACTTAGCATACCTTGAGATGGACATCCTAGCTTTAATGAAATGAAAACAACTCATGTTTCGTACAGCTACGTACAAGCTATAATTATTGGATTATAGTAACTGATTATTTCTTTTTTTTTCTAATAGCCTCTTCCCTGTTCTATTAACATAGTCCTAGCTTTGATATGTCAGGAGGGCTCACTGAACTGAGAACGTTTTTGTGCTTGCTGCAAAGATCAATCTGCTCAATTTTGAATATCTTTTGAGTAGCAAGGCTGCTGCTTAGTATGATATGATATTTGCTTTGCATCGGTTGTGACACCTTACTCGAGGTGATCCCTATGTTTAATAGAGAAATAAAAATGAAATTATGTGATGTGATGATGGCTTGTAGCAATGTGGGATCATGGCATGCGTACTCTAGCCTAGCTTACTTTTGATTGTATCCATTGTTGCATAGTTTACTGCTTACTAGACATGACTTTAGCAGGTTAAACTATGTTTTATAGATACATTTTATATGGTATGGCAGACAAGGTTTGATGACGCATCAACTAGTTATCTTTTTGTTACGGTAGTATCTTAGTCTCTTATTCTTTGGCTCGTGCTATTGTTTTTGTCTTGTCATTGAATTAGTATGTTATCTAGTTGCAGTTGGGTATTGCTGGATCCCAATATTTTAAAATATTTCTTTTGCCAAGTAACTAGATATTATCATGTGATCATGTTTTACACCATATTGTATAACTGATAACAACAGTGTTGATACAGATAACGCGAGATGTGGACAACCCATTTTGATGCCGCTCGACGGCACCTTATCACCAACCACATCATCTGCGAGATGTGGACAAATCCATGCTTGGATAGTGTTTTCCTAATTGCACGTGGATAGGATCCTTGTAGGGGTTCGTGAGGTACGATGATACTCTTAATTTTGAATCAAAGCATTAAATATCCACGATCGATTCACTTGACATTAGTTCTTGCAGGTTGGTCATAAGGATTGGATTGACCTCAACGGTAATCTCTTGTTTGATTCTCAAGTAGGAAGAGCCACAAAACAGGACTTGGTTGGATCAACCCTATCCCTCTCAATTGACAATGACAATCAGAATCATCATTAACAACTGAAAAGTAAAAAGAATAAGTTTATAACAATAATATTAATTACTATTCTACCGCTTGTGTTATACCATTTGATCCCAGTATTGTTAGTTTAATGCAGGTGGAGTCAGCCAGAAGTTTTGATCCAATCAAGGAGTTCATTTTACTTCTTTGCTCGGTGTTGCAAGAGGCTCTCTGATCTCCTCAGATACCTGATCATATCTTAGAAAATAATGTTGAAGTGGAGATAGACGGGACCATAGACATTGTCTTGTTCAGCTAATGCATGTGGAGTAGCGAGTACCAAACAAGCCAAATTTCCTCGGAAATGAACTCCCAAGTGACTGAATACCCCTTTTCCTCTCTTTTTTGTTTTCTGTGTATTTTTCACTGTCAGTTTTGGGCCAAATAATTTTGTTACACAATTGATCATTTTCATAGTGTCTAATATGGGATATGAAGATGATTAATATAGTCTTACCCAAGGTTTGTCGTATCGTATCGTACCAACGTTTCGACCCGGGCTCGGTATGGTGCGATACCAGTGTATCGGACGGTACATCAGGGCATACCGAGCGGTACACCCTGATGTATCGAACAATTTTATATTTTTTTATACTGTAGTAGTGCTACAGTATAGTACTGTATCATTGTTATAGTGCTACAATAAAATATTGTAGCACTATAGCGGTACCGGACGGTCCGCGTATCGGTAACCTGTCGAACCGGTACGTACCACCCGATACGGGCGGTATGCTTCGGTATGAGAGACCTTGGTCTTACCTATATAAAGGGGCGATGCACAAGCGATTATGTAAACGGCTTTGGTTTGAATGCAGGTTTATGCAGGGATTAGCTTGACGGTCTACAATAATTAAAATATCATTGGTTAACTTTTACTTTCAAAAACTTCTATTCCATCGATACGCATCTAAAAATCAATAAAATATAAACTTTATCTATCATTTTTATTAATAGATAAAGTATAATTAATTCTGACTAGATTTTAGAACCTATTGTTTCAGTTTTATCGAATTTAATTTTTTTCTAAAATATTCATCTAATCGATCGTTTATTAAGATATTGAAAGTTAGAGGGATATTTGATCATTTGATCGTTCATAAGAATTTGATTTCGATTTGATTCGTGCTATCAAATCATTGTCTCGGTTCGATTTAGATTTGATTTGAATCAAATCGTAATTAAGTCTAAGTAGAATAATCATAAATATAATATATTTTTAAAGGGTAACAAGGTAAACATAAATAATATAGACACGAGCGGAGAACGGAGTCGTGATCGTTACCAATCGAGAGAGTGGGCGATCGACGGTTATTACAAGTTGAAAGAGGCCTCCCCGAGTGAAAAGAGAGAGAAATAAGCAAAATCCCTCACTGTCATCGTTACTCTCTTGCGAACACAACATTATTAGTATTATAGCGAGGGTTATATAAATACGGCGGAGGAGGAGGAGGAGTCGTCGAAGAGGGTTTTGGCTGCCGAGAGGAGATATAAGACGAGTGCGGCCCCCTTTTCGCTTTCCCCTTGCGTCGGAGAAGAGGAGGGGGTAACGAGAGCCCGGTGCTCGTCGAGTACGAGAGTCGGAAGGGAACGACAATATGAGCGGCGCCGGTGGCGGAGGGAACAGGGGGAGCGTGGCGGCCCCGATCCCGACGGGGTCGAGGAAGCTGGTGCAGAGCCTGAAGGAGATCGTCAACTGCCCGGAGGCGGAGATCTACTCCATGCTCCGGGAGTGCAACATGGACCCCAACGAGGCCGTCCACCGGCTCCTCTCCCAGGGTGCCCCCCTCGGAATTCCCTTCTTTCGCTTCTTTTTTCCTTTTATCTCGCTCGGTGTTACTTGATTCTTCTATTTGTTCCGGAAATTAGGCGATAAAGATGGTTCTCTGTGGCTTTCCTTGGGAGGTCACTCGGTTAGGTTTGAGATGAAAAATACAGTAGGTGGTGCTATCCCAAATTTGTAGTTCTTCGCCTTCGATCTATGAGTAGATTCATTTTTCCTATCAGTTTCGAGTTCTTGCGTGCTTGTTTGGTTCAAAAGGCATAACTGGGGTGTCATGTTCATTTCCTAAAATTTTCCTTCGTTACATTAGTACACCGCGGTCTGGCCCAGAGAAGTGTAAAAGATGAAGCTTTTTTGCTTTTATATTTCGATAGTATGGTTGAGAGATCTGTTTGCCTGAGCTGGTCATCCTCAATGTTGCGCTGTCTAAATTTTAGAATTTGAACCTGGTAGAGTTTGTTAAATTGAGTTCCTTATTGCAAGTGCTTCTTAGATTTATTTTTTTTACCTTTATTTATTCTAGGATATCTTTTTGATGCTGGTATCTTTTCATGCTTTGTCTGTTTCTCTCCGATGGATGGACTGTCGTCAAACAAAGGAAACTTGAAATTTGTCTAGAGAAAGAAAGGAGTTAGCTAAGATTGATATCACTTTTTTCGCATCTATCCCTCGCTTGATTCTGTTTCGCACATTGATTTTATACAGAGAGTGTTATATTCTGTGATTAAGATGGGTCTTAGCGCTTCAAAACACTTTTTCTTTTGAGTTTTTTGAAAGGTCATTTACAATGCAAGTTGTGGTCTTGTATTATTTCTCATTATTCGGTCAGCATTTACATCTATGTTGTAAGATTGCCTTGATATTATGGAAGATTGTTTGCTCACAACCGTCAGAGGTAATAGGATATAAGTTAACGATTAACATTAGGAAAATGTGGGTTGTTCCAAGATGTTTCTAAAATGGGGAAGGATTTTTTTTGGATAATCATGGAGGAGCATAGGTCGTTGTTTGTTTGTAATTTGCACTTGCTTCAGTTCTCATTCTTGTTTTGTTTAAATTATAGTTGCTAACATAAGAAACTGTTGTAGTGCTCCATGCATATGTCTCTTTTATCATTCATTCTCTTGCCATTGGAAGAGTGGCTACTGTAGTTCAGTAATATCGACAAAGCAATGTTTCTGTAAACATGCCTAGTCAATTTCTTTAGTGGGCCTACATATAATTTAGTGTTACTTCATGGTGCAGATACTTTTCATGAGGTGAAGAGCAAGCGTGACAAGAAAAAGGAGGTTAGCACTCGTAGTGTATATAGATTAATTGCATGCTGAACCAACCTGATCTGTGATCATTGTTCATGTTTTATTGGTTTACTATGTATCTCTGGACATGCTTTGAAAAGCTTGATGCTCATTTCATGGATACGTCACCATCATGTTCCTCATATTCTACTGTTTCTGGTTCCTTGAGTTCTTGATTTGGCCAAATCTCAGGGTCGTCAATTATTTTTATGCAACGTGCTTGATTCATTTTGTGTTCATTAAGCAATTTATATTTGGCAGAATGCATGTTTATTAATGATCATCCATTTTCTCAGTATTCTGAACATTTTTTGTTTTTTTATTTTATTTTATATTACCGTAAAGCACATGCCATTTTACATTGATTGACTGTGTCATGATTCATTGCTATTTTTCACTTTCTTTAGATCAGAGAACCTCCAGAATCCAGATCTCGAACTGTGAACAACAGCTCAGGTCGTGGGGCTAGAGGTGGCCTTGACCGTGGGGTCCGCAGCACTTCTTCCCAATCCAGTTCTATTGGTAGGATGATTTATCATTATGGTTTTGCTATCTATGTCTTCAAGAATGCAACTTTAATGCCTTTGTCTTTGTACTTGCTCATAAGCTCGTTTCTTATCTTTGCATTCTTGTAGACTATGGTGCTGGTAAGAGTAAATCTTTACACAAGAAAGAAAATGGTGCAAGTGCTGTTCCTAACTCATCAGTTGTGGAATCTTCCGTGCTATCAAGTTCTCCTACTCAAAGGCCAACAACTTTAAGGTGACCACGTCCTCAATTTTATAGGATGGCATTTGCGTGTTTCCAGATCATGAATAATTTTACCCGGACCAACTGGAATAAGGATTTTGCATCCATTTTTTTGGGGGTTAGTCTAGTGAGCTTGCCCTTTTAAATGTGTTCTATTATTGGATTCTGTAATTTGCATAGCTTACAAGATAGCAACAATGATAAGAAGATTTTTCTTTTAATTTATTGACAACATTTAAACTTTAAAGTGCCCTTCAATTTCAAACCGATGGGTCGTAGACAGAACAGTTAGATCATTGTGTTCTGGATCCAATTTCTTCTCGCTATTGTCATTCCGTGATGACAAAACCACTTAAAACAAACTTAGTCTTTATTAGTTTTGCTGTGACCTTATATGATATTTTTGCCCAGGTGTGCTGATAATTACAAGCTTCTTAGGTGGTTTTCTTAAAATTATGTTAGTTTAGAATTGGTACATACTGATTAGCTACAAGGTTTTGTAGTTTAGAATGACATATGGAAGATTTTTAAAGTTGTACAATCTGCTTAAACCTGTATTGACTTTCTAAATCTGGTGCTGAGTTCCAAGGAAAGCCAATTCAGTTAAGGAACTTGTCAAAGAACCTAAAAGGATTTTGATCCACGGAAAATATGTTCCTTCTTGCAATATATGTTCATGAAACCAGTTTTAAATCACTATAGATAAATTAAAGTGCCAATGAAATGTGGCCTATATTCATATTCTTTCAATTGGAAAATTCACACAAAATAAGATATTTCATGCTTTATATCTTTTCCAAGTGAAAGCTAAAGAAACATGATGCATTTATGTTCTTTTTAATCGTATAAGATGCATGTGGTTAGATCTGGTCAACAGAATTCTCTTTGGGATGGATGTTTGTTTCAGTCCTTGAGGAATGATGCTCCTGACCCCTTTATCTCCTTCAAGATTTTGAACAAATTAGGAGGCATTATATTACTGCTGCTGAATGATAAGAAGATTTGTCAAGGGGATGGATTATAATAGAAACGAAAGGAGTCTGAAAAATTTAGTATTTGCACAAAATTTGTTGACCAACTATTATACTAAAGGAAAAAGATAATGTGGTACATGATTTTTTTTCCGGTGGTTAGTCCTAACCTTTTTACCTCCATTTCCCACTGAAATGCAAATTTGACTATCTAATAGAGATATGTTTTACTGGTTGCTATCCTTAGGGAACCAAGAAAAAAAGAAGATATTCTATAGTTGGTTGGTTTATTTGCACTATAATTGTAAATTTGTAATGACAAGGGATTTCTCCTATTACGATAAATCAAATAACCATAATTAATGTGTCGCTTTCTCTGGATGATAAATTGCCTTGTTTGTATAATATTATTTGGGAATTAATTAAATTTGGTTTCCTTTACGATGTTGGAAAGTTAGTAATTCAGTCAAATAATTAAATAATAAAATAATTCGAAAAGAATTAATTGATTTATTTTCTAATGAGTGATGTGACTTTGTATTTATTATGAATTCTTTTTTTGTGTGTGAAAATGAAATAAAATAAAATTTAAAAAATTAAATTATTTTTATCTTTCGGAGTAGACTCATCTTCTCCTATATAATGGGAGC